GGGCAGACATCAACGCATTCCAAAATTACAGATTTACAAAACAAACTTAACAGAAATTACATTCCCACTCAAACTTTAGTGATTGTTATAGTCAGGTTAAACGAGGTTATAGATGGCAGAATTGAGATGCCAAAATACGATACGTGATTTTTCGGATTGTCCAATGGTTTAATAACAAGTCAAATAAAGAGCAAATACAGTCGAACCTCGGAAATCGACCGCACCAGAACCATTGACTGATTACCAATCGATTATATAATTACAATACCCCCCTCTGCCTCAAATCACTGCACCTGAATGAGTTAAATGATGACGTCACCCTGCTGCTCTATTTAAGACCGGGAGCAAGTGAGGGCTTTACCATTCTGGCGAATTGCCGGATGATGCTGGATGTAATTACCAGCGAAACGTCGTACTCAAACTGTAAATGGTGTGGATTCACTCTTCAACACACCGGTGGGCTAAAGTAGTGAACTATTTGTCTTTTATCAACGTGACACTTTTTTGCTGATTGGCCGTGTCGGGTTGTGGAGGGTTACGACACATTTATAAATAACGCGATCTAACCCAAAAACCTTTATTATGGATATTTCCGAAATTTTTTGCCCCGGAAACCGAACGAAATTCGGAGGTCGAACGGGCAATTGCGACTTGAAAGAACCTGTACGGCTGAGACGCGTTTGGCCAGCGTGCATGACGCTTGCCCAGACAAAGGTTTTACCGTGTAAGAGGCTCAGTTAATGCGTACCTCTCACCCAGTGCAGTTACCCGCAAAACATCGTTCCTTAACTTTTTTGTTAATTTCCTTTATTTTAGTCAGAAAGAGCTCAAGTGACTCACAGTTAGTGGCAGAAAAGAGGCATAAAAGAGAAAGAACCCCAGAAGGGCAGTTACCCGACGTTTTTTGTAAGAGGACTCCCCTTCCAAACAATAACACCACCTATACTCTTTGGTTCTATTGGGTAAAGTCACGTAGGTGAAAATAAAAAAATAAAAAAATCATGACGTTTCGGCCACAACACAAGCGGCCTTCATCAGGTGAAGGGACGAGACTGTCTGGAGGACAGCGCTATCCTCCAGACAGTCTCGTCCCTTCACCTCATGAAGGCCGCTTGTGTTGTGGCCGAAACGTCGTGATTTTTTGTTTTTTTGTTATTTTATTATCACCTACGTGACTTTACCCAATAGAACCAAAGAGTATGGATCCTAGCAGTCACAAAAGCTTTAAATCTAAAATAACACCCCCTCCTCACCACCTTCCACTCAAGCCATCAACTCTCCTTACTACAGGTAAAGTGAATTTCAGTGTTCATTTATTTCATTTATTCCATGTATTTATTCCATTTTATTTATTGTGTTTCTTGTTTTTTTGGAATATTTTTACACATGTAATTACTGTAAACTTCGTGAAAAATGCTTTATAATGAGAGATTTCTTGTGTCTGGAACGAATTAATGTCATTTACATTAATTCTTATGGGGAAAATTAATTAGGTGTTCGAACAAATCGGTGTTCGAACGGCCTTCTGGAACGAATTAAGTTCGATCTCCGGGTACCACTGTATACAGAAAAAATATCCTTGTGAATAAAAATATCATGTGGTTGATACAGACTTGATGTTTGTGTTAAAATATACCACAATAATGTGTGGCTAATGCAGACAATGCTGCCTTGCAATAGGTATCTGTTTTCAAATAGGACTATGTACTTTATTCATTTCTATTTATTTTTCGTGAATTGCTTACCTTTCATGTATTTTGCACTCCTGTCGTTTTTTGTATGCGAGTTGAACTTCTTTCACACGTACGTATCCAACCATGTTTGTTTTTGTAACTTTCTGACCCGCCTCGACTGGACACCTGTGACATTCCTCCAGAAGACAGATTCTGATTTTAAAGATTCTGATCTTAACACCAGTATTATTGCCGAAAAGGTTAAAGCCTTTCCTTCTTTCATCAAAATAGTTGTATCATTATACATTTAAACCATGACACCAGTACACAATGGCCTACTCATGAAAAATAACGCGAGAAAAAATAACTTTAACATATATATGGAAGCATATGGTGCATGTTGGTGGGTATAATATGCCTGCAATATTCATAATACAATCATAAATAACATTTATAAAGTGCTGCATTTCATCCGTGGATCCCACCAATCCGTGCCGTGTATCAAAAGTACGAAATATACACAGCCTTCAGGGTAAACAGCCAGAACTCAAGCTTCATTTACCCACTAACTCACTCACTGGATGACCCACTCACTCTCTACTCAATCAGTCAACTACTCACCTATTCTGTAACCAAATCACTTACCCACTCGCTCAGGTAAACGGCAAAACTAGGGGGGGATGAAGATCAGTTTACGGAGGTGAGTTTTAAAGATTGACTTAAGTATATCTCTGATTGTCTTACTAATCAGAGTGGCCGCTACTTTTTACCAGAGTGGTGAACCCGAAATATTGTGATTGGTGACATTTGCAATGCATGGGCAAAACCTTCTCTGGAACTGGGAGAGGAGGCAGTTTGACCGGTAGCTTCTGCAGTCAGTCGGTGTGTGTTCCCTTGTACTCAAACTGGCAGAGCTCACTTCGTGGAAAATGGCGGCTGTTGTTGCGTGCGGTAATGTAACCTATAGCGCGCTGCGCTACGAACCAGGCAACACGAGTTCGATACCCACTCACCGCCACCAACACCAGTGACTATCTGAACCAGACTTGGGCCTCTCTAGATCGACTCGGCCTCAAATGAGTGCCTGGTGCAGTGTGTAAACATCGCCACTGGGGAAACAAAAGCGGTCGGGTGTGTTGCTGGCCATACACCCACTCCTGAACTTATTGTTAAGGCTATATTGGGGGTCTTTGTTGCAGGTAACTGTGTATATATGTGCATTGGAATATGCTCATGTGTGTTAATGTATTTTATTTGACTGCGAGTGCAAGTTAACCCTTAACCTTGTTTTTTATTTGCATTTTTAACTTCTGTTAGTATTACTGGTTTTGTAGAGCGTGTTTTGGGAGTGTGTTAACGTGCTGGGTAGCTAACACATGGGTTTGTGTATTTTAATGTGTGTCTGTGTATATGTATGTGTTGCTTTTTGCTATGCCTTAAATATTCCAGGAAGTAACCACACTCTGTCAGTGGTTGGCTGGTGCACCATCTGGTGACAAAGTGTCAACACAGAATATTGTGATTGGTGACATTTGCACGGCTTGGGCAACCCAGAGTCTATGAGCAGTTTTAGTGCCGGGTATAATGGACTTCCAAAGGAAGGTGCAGAGGGAGGGTGATGATTTTGCACAGGTTGCAATACAGAACATTATTACAACAACATGGACTAAATGATGACCTCTGCTGTATTGGACGAAGACCTAACGTTTGACCACACTAATTGCCAGATTATGAATATTCAGCTTGCCAGACCTGCAGAGAAGAAGCTTGCAAAGCCCCATTGTGGTTTCAGGCCAGGGCAGTTCTCCACAAATGTCATACATTATGTCAATTATGCTTAATTGGTGTGCATCTCCTCATAGTTACAGGTAGGATAAGTTGTTTTTTAGTCATTGACTTTCATTTGTTTACCGCTTTTTCTCGCGCTAAATATTTGCACGAAAATGGCGGAACACCATCGCCCTCGTTCTTAATTACTTATTACACACGCCTGCATTTCCTCTCTTCCTTGCTTCTTTCGCTAAAGTCACGCAGATAGAAAACTAATATTTGAAAACTTACTTAGTAAATATAAAAATATGAATGTGTTTGTACACGTCCATGTGTGCGTGTGAGTCCATATATGTGTGTGGGTCTGTGTGTGTGTGGGTCGATGTGTGTGTGCGTCAATGTGTGTGTGATAGTCGCTGTGTTTGTATGTGTAAGTCCATATGTGTGTGTTCGTCCGTCTATGTGGTGGTGTGTAAGTCCATGTATGTGTAGAGACGTAAATAGCGTCCCATCGGTGTATACGCCGAATGCAACTACGAATGCTACAAGAGGGTGCACGTACCTCTGGAGGGAGCCAACGGAGACGTGGTGGGGAAGCAGGCCCTGCTCGGCAGGGTCCCGTCGCAGAGGGAGAGAGGGGACGTGCCGGCTCAGGGGAGTTAAGGGGGCCCGGAAATGAGGGCCCGAGGACATGTGATGCTGGCTCCGGTTCCGTCTCGAGAGACCGAGGAGGGGGTGTGGCCGGTTGGCAGAGCGAGGCCACGCTCGGAGGATAAGAGGCACGAGGGCGGAGTGTTGGGGCAGTCCAGCGGCGGAAACTGACGGTGCGGCGACTTGGGGAGTCGGGGGGCGTTGGTCGTTGGGGACTCAGTTATAGGGAAGACCCCCTTTTTGGGGTCTAGTGTAACCCCGAGTGTGTTATCCCTATCCCTGGAAGTGGAAATCGTGGTGCCTTTAGACCTCAGTGTGTGCCTCGTCCGATACACACTACAAATGTGTAACTCCATGTGTCTGTGTGTGTAAGTCACTGTGTGTGTGCGTAAGTCCATGTGTGTGTCTGAGTGGATGGGTGTGAGTCGATGTGTATGTGTATACGTCGATGTATGTGTGTGTGAGTCAATGTGTGTGTGTGAGTCGATGTGTTTGTGTGTGTGTGGGTCCATGTCTGTGTAAGTCGATTTGTGTTTGTGTCTTTTTCGCCAGGGCAATGCCGGGTACTTCCCGATAGTATTAAACATACTAGGGCCTCCAGGCATTAAACTGACCACTTGTCTGTTATGCCAGGCCAAGAGCTGATCGTCAATTGAAACAAGTGCCTTAAAACAGCCTGTGTGAATTGGGGGTGATTTTTTTTTTATTTCTTGCTAATGTTTGAGTGTTCTTGTCTACGTAATATGTGAATATCACGTGTGACTGTATATATATGCATTTCTATGCTGACATACATTGCGTGGATATTACTGTTTTCTGTCTGCAGCTGCCAGTTCCTCTGACACTTTGCTGTACAGAATTGGTCATATGGAGCGAAGAAAATCAGCGGGAGAAAAAGCCTTCAAGTGCACAGTGTGTGGGAAGGCGTTTGCACATCCATCACTTCTTAAAAGACACCAGAGAAGTCACACAGGAGAGACACCCTTCAAGTGCACTGTGTGTGGGAAGGCGTTTGCAGAGTCATCACATCTTAAAAGACACCAGAGAATACACACAGGAGAAACACCCTTCAAGTGCATTGTGTGTGGGAAGGCCTTTGCACAGTCATCAGGTCTTAAAACACACCAGAGAATACACACAGGAGAAACACCCTTCAAGTGTACTTTGTGTGGCAAGGCATTTGTTAATTCATCAATTCTTCAGGGCCACCAGAGAACACACACAGGAGAAAAACCATTCAAGTGCACTGTGTGTGGGAAGGCGTTTGCACAGTCATCATTTCTTAAAAGACACCAGAGAATACACACAGGAGAAACACCCTTCAAGTGCACTGTGTGTGGAAAGGCCTTTGCACAGTCATCACATCTTAAAACACACCAGAGAAAACACACAGGAGAGACACCCTTCAAGTGCACTGTGTGTGGGAAGGCGTTTACAGAGTCATCTCATCTTAAAAGACACCAGAGAATACACACAGGAGAAACACCCTTCAAGTGCACTGTGTGTGGGAAGGCCTTTGCACAGTCATCAGGTCTTAAAAGACACCAGAGAATACACACAGGAGAAACACCCTTCAAGTGTACTTTGTGTGGCAAGGCATTTGCACATTCATCAATTCTTCAGGGCCACCAGAGAACACACACGGGAGAGAAACCCTTCAAGTGCACTGTGTGTGGGAAGGCGTTTGCAGAGTCATCACATCTTAAAATACACCAGAGAAGTCACACAGGAGAGACACCCTTCAAGTGCACTGTGTGTGGGAAGGCCTTTGCAAAGTCATCACATCTTAAAACACACCAGAGAATACACACAGGAGAAAGACCCTTCAAGTGCACTGTGTGTGGGCAGGCGTTTGCACATTCATCACTTCTTAAAAGACACCAGAGAATACACACAGGAGAAACACCCTTCAAGTGCACTGTGTGTGGGAAGGCCTTTGCAATGTCATCGCATCTTAAAACACACCAGAGAAAACACACAGGAGAGACACCCTTCAAGTGCACTGTGTGTGAGAAGGCGTTTGCATATTCATCAATTCTTCAGGGCCACCAGAGAACACACACGAGAGAGAAACCCTTCAAGTGCACTGTGTGTGGGAAGGAATATTCACTGTCAACATATCTTAAACAACACCAGCGAACGCACACGGGAGAGAAACCCTTCAAGTGCACTGTGTGTGGGAAGGAATTTTCACTGTCAACATATCTTAAAAAACACCAGCGAACACACACAGGAGAAAAACCCTTAAAGTGCACTGTGTATGGGGGGAAGGGTTTTCGACATTTAGGGGATCAAAACAACCATCAAGCCATTAATCAGGAAATTAATCTGAAATCGGCTTGTGAAAGTCAAAGTGCTGCGATGAGTCCATCCCTCATTAAACAAGAACCAGAAAAACATTTGAGATATCAAACGTTGCCAGGAGTGAAGGCGAAATGTCAAGAAGTGAAAATGAAATTTGAGTCGGTGAAGGTAAAAAGTGAAGAAATGATGGTAAAGAGTGAAGAAGTGATAGTGAAATGTGAGGATGAAAATTCAACTCCAAAATCCGACCTTCACGTCGATGGAGGCAGCGTGAAGCTGGAGGAGACTGTGGAGGCAGAGCGAGGCAACGCCCAGCAATTTGTGGATGTTGAAGTGTGGGTGGATTTTTTAGGCAATACTGAGTCAAATGGAGACCAAGTAGATGTGCATCGTTGAGCTTAGGATAAAGAAGTTCCATTTAATTCACAGGCCTTTCCCAGAATTGAGGTTTTTATGGTTAGATTGCGTAAATATTTCAATTTATCGTTAAAACCCGCCACCACCCGACACAGCCAACTAGTAAGGGTTGTCACGTTAATAGAACATGCCAATTCGTCACTAGTACAGCACACTGGTGTGTTGGAGAGGCAAGCCACAACGTTTACAATCTGAGCACGACGTTTTGCCAATCATTACAACTAGCTTCATCAGGCGACAGCCAGATTTGTGCCTTTCCCATTAAAAGGGTTTAACCTCCAAGTAGTCAATAGAGGCAGCGTGAAGCTGGAGGAGGCTGCGGTCAGAGAGGGTGAAATGAAACACAGCAGTTTGTCGAGGTGGACTTTTGGAGAATGCAAAGTAGGAGCGGCCAGCATGTGTGGACTAGGAGGTTGGGTAGATCTGTAAGCAGGAGCGGGAGACAAAAAAGCTCCACAGCATTCAACGTGTTATAATATTATTTACATTCATATTGGCGCTTGCATAAATGTGTTATTTCTTTCTCACTGTGCGTAGCTAATCTTGCTAAGCAAAGGTGAAATGCTTCAGCAACTAAAAAGAGGCTTGTATCATATTTCATCTCAATCGTTCGACATCTAGCCCCAGTGGCAGCTGTCCCTTTGTGGTCCAAGGTGACTCAGTACCGACCTGCACGTGGACATGAGGTGGCCAGTAGGGTGGAGCGATGATTGATGTGTAACCCCAGTCGGGTAATTTGTGGCTAATCTTTCGAATCTGGCAAATTTTGACCCTCACACCGTGAATGTTGAACATCCACTGTTAAGCTGATGGTGCATATTTTGGTCAATATTGCTGCAGTAATCATGAGGGGTGCCGGACAGATGTGAACTGTGTATCTCTTTTAACAAATATCAACCGTGCTATCACTTGGCTTCTCAGTCTAAGAATGCATGCAGGTGTAGGCATCCATTCAGAGATATACGTGTACAGTAAATGCGATGTAATGTGATCTGTATATTTCAATGCAATAATGCAATGTTCGCGATGTATCTCTTGATAATAATCTTGTATATAAAAGTCTCCGCGCGTGCACTTGCGAGGGATTTGGCTCTCAACGGTGGGGTTGATTTCGAGAAAAAATTGCCAGCCAGCACTCCCGAAGCCCCACGGTGGGAATAGGCTATTCCTTTTTCACGTCCGTCACCTTTAAATTAGTTAAATGAGCGATTTTGTGGAATTCAGATTTATTTATTTATTTACTGCCCGTCACCGGCCGTACCAACTCACGCCAATTGGGTTGGGGGGGCGGACCCTACCAAATGATGCGTGTTCGGACGAGCTCACTGTACTGCCAGCCTTTCATGTCGACTGTATTCTGCTTTTTCAGCTGCTGCTCGTTTTGCCCACTTTTTATGTCGACTGTAACAATGCTTATGTCATTGAGTCGGTGAACTGGCAGTCTATAATCTAGACTGTAGCCTGCTTCTCAACTTACCTGTGCGTACTGCTGCTCTTTAATTTAAACTTGTTTCTGCTTATTTCTTCAATGCATTTCTAGTGTTTCCATTGCTCACGTCATATTTACTCATACGTAGTACTGCGATACTGATAGCTGTGCCATATCGGGGCTTGCTGTGCACGTTGATGTGTGAGTCAATGTGTGTGTGTTTGAGTCCATATGTGTATACGTGTAGGTCCATGCGGGTGTTTTAAGTCCATGTGTGTGTTTGTCTTTTTTGGAACGGGCAACGCCCGATGTGTGTGTGTACTTCGAAGTGTTTGTGCGTGTGTGTCAGTCCAAGTGTGCATGTCAGTCCATTTGTGTGCGTATCAGTCGCTGTGTGTGTGTGTTAGTCCATGTTTGTGCATGGCTCCATCCGAGTGTGTAAGTCAATGTGCGTTTATGTGTGTGTGTTAGTCCACGTGTGTGTTAAGTCCATGTGTGTATGTGTCACTCAATGTGTGTGTGTAAGTCAATGCGTGTGTGTGTTAATCCATGTGTGTGTATCTAAAGTAGATGTCTGTGTGTCACAGTCCGTATGTGTGTAGGGTAATGTGTGTGTAAGTCCATGTGTGTGTGTCTTAGTCGATGTGTGTGTGTAAGTACATGTGTGTTCATGTCAATGTGTGTGAGTCCATGTATGCCTGTGTGCGAGTCGCTGTATGTGTGTACGTCGATATGTGTGTGTAACTCCATGTGTGTGTATCTAAAGTGGATGTCTATGCGTGTGTGAGTCCATTTGTGTGTGTGTAAGTCCATGTGTGTGTTTGAGTCGATATGTCTGTGTGTCAGTCCATGGGCGTGTGTGTTAGTCGCTTTGTGTGCGTGCCTCCATGTGCGTCAGTGTAAGTCCATTTCTTTGCGTGTCTGTAGGTCCATGTGTGCGTGTGAGTGAATTTATGTGCTTTACTGACCTGGTCATAGCCTATGATACCATCAGTAGGCCTGGCCTCTAGGTTCTTCATGCTTTCCGAGTCCTTCACCCTTTGTTCACGGTCCTTAAGGACCTTCATGATGGCGAGCGGCCCCGCGTCAAACTACATGGCCGTCAGTCAGAGCCATTCCCTCTACACCTTGGGGTGTGACAGGGATGTCCTCTGGCTCCCACATTATTTTACATATCTTTTGACCACGTCGTTCGTGAACCCTTCAGTGGCTGTACCAGAGGAATTACCATATGGTACAGATACAATGGGAGGCTGATCGATGCCCGGGTGCGGTCATGGGATGGCTCCCTATTGCTCAACCATGTTATGCATGCCGATGCTCTGGTTATTGCTGCTCACTCAGAGGAGGAGTTGCAGGCACTGCTGCTGAACCTGGAGCTTGGCACTAAGAGGTGGGGCCTTACCATCAGCCCCACCAAAACTAAGCACCTACCTGGGTATTTTGTACCATCGGACAATCCACCCCCACAACTCACAATTGGTGTTGCGGCAGTTGTGCAGAGATTGGAGAGATTCCCATACTTGGCCAGTGTGCTCATGACCGGCTCCGGTTTAACAGCAGAGGTCTCACTCCAAATCAGTTGCGCGCCATTATCTTTTCATCGGCTGCGTTACGCTGTGTGGAAGCAACCTGGTCTCTCGCTCCGCATGAAGCTCCAGGTCTTCTTGGCCACGGTAATTCCCTCCGTTCTACGCTTGCGAAACGTGCACCCCCTAATGGAATATCTTCGCCGGTTAGAAACATTTAGGCTGGCCTGCTAACGATCCATCCTGGGTGAAATGATGTGTGTGTGTGTCTAAGTCGATGTCTCTCTATGTGTGTGGATCGATGTCTGTGTGTAAGTCCATGTGTGTGTCTGCCTTTTTCGCCCGGGCAACGCCGGGTACTTACCGCTCGTTTAGCATATACAGCAAAAGCTCTTATCCAGCATCCATGGAGATTCGACGGTGCCAGTTCATCAAATGTGCCGGTTATCTGAGAGGTATACTTTAAGGTTCAGCAAATTTCTCAAGTATAAAAACATTTTTTAATGAAGAAATTAAACATACATTTTAACTATGATATTCAACTTAATTAACTCTTTTACAGAGGTACCAGTCATTTGTACACCATTCTAAGTTCATTGTAGAGAAGCAGTGGTGCTGTTTAGATTACAGTGTACAGTAGTGCAGTACTGTATGTACAAGTACAGTGAAACAATTAGGTTAGGTAGCCCACAACACGATCACAATGGCGGATTGCAATTGCGACTCCATTAGTGCCACCACTCAGCAACGTCATAAAGCACGCTGCAAGATGGCAGAATTTTTCTCGATACGTGAAGTAATAATTACATTGCCGCTTAACAGATGCCGGTTAATAGAGCATTCTGGATGGTGAAGTACGTGATAGAGATTTTGCTGTAAGTAGCATTTGGTGTTAAATGGTCAAAAATGGAATGTCCTAAATAGATCAACGTTTGTTTTGACAGTAACCTGTGTGGAACATTTACGTGACTGCTGTTGTTCATGTGATTCAGGGTCAAAATCTTTTTTTGTAGCTTAGGAACCATATCACCCAACTCATTGTCTTCTAAATCACGACTATAGTATATACAAGGGAAAACACTGAAATGTTACATGAAGGAGATATTTTCTCCACAACACTAATTATGCTGTGTATCTTACGTATAAACATGATTTTTTTTGTCTGCCTGTGTCTCCGTACGCCTATCCTCGTAACGCTTTCAACTGACAAACTGTTGGGTTTACGTTTCAACAAAGTCCAGTCATATCTCGGTATATGTCCGCTTTGGAATACGTCGAATTTGGTATACGTCGTGTTTTGACGAGAAAAAAATGTCTTGGGATACGACATCTTGCTTGGGATACGACGCGCTTGCTAGAACTTGTATGGGTCGGGGTGAGTCACCGCGTACCCGCGTATACCCCGTTCACGACTGAAACAAAGCGCCGCTCCTCAGTCAACAAGCCGTATATGTATTGTGTGGAATGACCAGACAATGTCACACTTCAGGAACATTCTTAGAAGAAGGCAAAAACAAACTTCAATGGACAGATTTTTAGTAAAACTCAAACCTGGTGAGCCTCAATCAGATCCAAGT